TTATTGTTTAATATGGCTTTTTAAAGAGGCTGTTTGTAGTTGTTAAAATATGTTTGATTAGTTATTTCAAGACAACCAATAAACATTATTTAAATGTACTTTTTGGCCCTGCCACAATTATTGAGTTATACGGAGAGTATTTTCACACAAAGTTCTTTTCTTAAAATCAAACTATAGTATAAAATCAGGGACAATCTATATAAATGAGCTACCATTAAATTATTGGAAACACAAGTTGCTTTCTTTACATCTCTGGCTCTAATATGTAACTATCTCCTGAATTATTTTAAATAAAATTTTGATTAAGAATAAAACAGTTCAGTATTTTGGTAATAAGTAATGTTGGTCGCAGAACACAATGAGTGTAATGGGTGGCACCAAACTGTGTGCTCTAAAATGTTAAAGTGGCAGACTTTGCAAATGATTCTTAAAGATTTTTATCAAAATTTTTTAAAGAATGAATTTTAAAGAATTTAATGAAACCTATTTTTAATAATAAAAGAAATTTCCATGGTTCATTGTAAAATTGAATAGCATTTTGCATTTCAAATAGCAATGTCACGTGCATTATCTTCTGTTTCCACCAACTCTGCAAGTTAAATTCACACTTTCAACTTTCGGTAAGACAAATACCTTTACTAGTTATTTGGAACATTAAAATGCATATAAGAATGTCATAATCCGCTTTGCAGAAATACGACATTACAAAATTGATATCTTTATAAGTTTCTTTGCTTTCAGTTCTACTTTCTACATTAAAAGCCATTTTTTGCTTCTTCTGAGTGATGTGATTTTGGTTCCTATATGTATAAAAATTCTTCAAAGAGCTCATACTATGTTCAGAGCCAAGTATGAGGGTGTAAATCACTCGGGCAGTGTGTACAGTTTTCTGAAGACTAAGATGAATACATTTGTTTCTTTTGGGATCATTGTGCTGTTCTTTTCTTTAATGAATAAAAACAATGTGCTTCAATCATTTCAACTTCTAAATCCTTAAGTTTATTTTTTAATTTATGGGGCTATATTTGCTGTTGTTTAAATAGTGCTAGATTTCCTTTTTATATTTTCTATAAGGCATGTTCAAAATGCTTAAAAAAAAATCAATGTATTTCACCAAAGTTTGAGTCAGTGTAGTAGATATTTTTGTCAATATAAGCTAAGTCAGGTCATAGGTGCAAGTTATGAATCTGCCTATGATCACATGGCATTTTGATATAATGACATTTTGGTTTTGCCACTAGCTTCAGCTGTTCATTAGACAAAGCCAAGAAATGTTTGAGGCAGGAATATGTCCCTGTATCCATGCTGTTTGGCATATGGTAGCCACCAAAATAATTTAAGTAGTTCTCTTCTCCAGTTTTCTTGCTTACATATTATTTGAAGCAATTAAGTGACATAAGATACTGGAAACAAAATAAAATGAAATGAAATAAAGTGTCTGGTTTTCAAATTAACCAGAAAGTGGAAATAATAGAAGTATTTTAAAGAATTTATAAGGCCAGGGATTTAGTTCCGTGGTGCCATAGGCACCCTCACAAGTGCAAGGTCCCGAGTACAGTCCCTGGTAATGCAAAAGCAAACAAATAAAAAAGTTACTAAGGTGTCTTGGTCATAAATTATTAGAATGATTAAGATGATCAAAAATTTAGATGACATTTATCAGCTTTAAATGTGTCATCATTAGTGATCACGACAGTCCAATTGTTTCAATTTTGGGATTTTATTTTAGGTTTAAATTTTGAGCATATTTAATTTGCTATAATCACAAGAATTTCATAACATGTTTCTCAAACCATAATTTGAATACACACAAGTGAATTAAAAATTTCTTCCCCATTAAAAACAAATACAATTTTAGAAAAGAACTAAGAAAGAATATTGGAGTTTATATGCAAAAAAGAAAACCTACCTTTCATATGAATTCATCAACCATAGCTATTGTATGTACACTTTTAAATGAACATTCTAAAATCCTCAATATTTCTATAAATATCCATCTACCCACTAGTCCAATCAAATTATCTTCTTAAATCATAATTCTCCACAAATTACTTAACAAATGTCTTTCTTTTTTCTGAGTCTCATGATTTAAAGATATCAAACTAAAGTACTATTTGAGTTCTCAATAAATTAGGTCCTCTTCACTAAGAAGAAGCAGACAGATGGCCACACCCAATCTTCCCCTGCCTGAAGGGTTAAATTTTTAGTGTTTTGTCCAGCACCAATGTCTTTCTGAATCTTGGCTTTCATGCTGGCTTACATATTTTTGCATTCTTCAATTTTTTCCCTTTTTTTGAACAAGTCTTTTCCCCGTTCATAGCAAACTGCAAATGGAAAATAGTTCCTCATTTCTTATTTTGAGATTTTTTTTTTCTTTAAGCTTCCAAGTAATAGCCGTTCAGTTGGCCTTCTTTTCTTTAATGTTTTGACATTATAAATTCTGAACAGGTTTCTATGATAGTGAAAAGGCTCATTTTAGAATCTCCTATGATTTGTCCAAACGTGAGGCAGTGAATTGCTTTCAACAGTAAGTCAATTCATTTTGGAATTGTTCCTTTAATTATCACGAGAAATATTGTATATATTTATTCTTACCTAATAAGTAATCATTTGCACATGTTAGATCATAGAGTAATAAATCATATTAGCACTAACATTTTTTAAAAGATATAATCTAGATTGGACAACATGTGTAACTGTGTTATTACTGTTACTATCACATCTTGTTTTTTTATCTCCTTATATAGTGTTCACCTCGGGGAACAGAGGATTTAAATAATCCAAAACTTAGTGTAATTACCAGGTGATCAAATGAAATAGATGAATGTGGATGTAGCAAGCTTGCAGAAGTATTTACACAGAATAAGGGGTGAATATCTCAATAGTAAATAAAAACATTCCTCAATAAATTCTAATTTTAAATCCTGAATACAACCTCTTGTCGGCGAGTAAATTAATTAGCACTTTTGTTCCCCAGAGTCTTCATTTGTATGGGAGGCTATAACAGCTTTTACCCCCAAGTCCACAAACTTTTTTCATGCCCCAGCCCCCGGAACCTGGGATTAGTTTGTCAAAAGAGCGGCTTGGCATGCGTGATTAAAATAAGGATCTGAAGATGGGGAAATTACTCTGCGCTATCTGGGTAGATCAAAGATATACTCACAAGTGTCTCTAGGAAATGGCAGAGCTCTCACTACTGCTGAGGGGATCTGACTGGGGAAGCGGGGGGCAAAGTGGTGTGGAGAGGAGCCAGGGAAAGCTGGCAGCCTCTGGAAGTAGAAGCAAGAGTTCTTTTGAATCCTCCAATAGGAATCAGCGCTACGAGTATCTCGGTTTGAGCCCCTTAAGTGTCCTTTTGGACTTCTGATCTCCAGAGCAGTAAGAGGGCCAGTGTATGTTGTTATTACTGTTCTGGTAATTTCTTACAATATCTACAGTCAATTAGATCTCTGAGATCCTCCATGATTTGAGAAAAATTCTCTGCCCTGTCAGTTTTGCGGATTTTTATTTCGAAGCATTTTTAATAGGCATAACGGGAAAAATAATTTTTCATTAGTTATTTGGTATATTTTATTCCTTGCTGTAATCAACCTGTTGGTTATTCATATGTCGTCAACGAGAGGCAAGCACACACTCATGGAGATGTTTCTATTAGTTTTTTTTACCGAGTAAAAAAAGACAAATTTCAAAAATGAAATTTTATGTTTAAATAGCCAATTCAATTAGAAATTCAAAACACAAGAATCTTGCAGAAATCAGCTGCCAGATTTATTAATCTATCTGAAAATAAAAAAAACATAAAAACACAACCAAACAAAAGTAGAATAAAATAGAACTTAAAAAATCTTAGGTACATTTCTCAAAATGTTTATAATGCAGTATTTTGAACTCCCCAATATGTAATTGGAAATATACTTAAAGTTGGTCAACTGTTCAATTTAGTTCAGTGAGTCACTACCTTAAACAGTAATATTTACATAGTTTGTCCTTAAATATCATATAATTAATACCATTTATTTCACTGATACTTTAAGATAATTGATTGCCCAATTCTTCCTCACTGACTGACTAGAACTGGAGTATTAAAAAGAAGTAAAAGAAAAAAAACACAAAGCATCCTTAATATGATTGTTATTTAGAATATCTTTAAAAACCCACTTAAAATTTCTTCTTCAGTTTCACCAAATATCTCAATCATATATTTCAGTTCTCTTTCCAATAAAACTTTCACTGAATATTTTTTAATCTGCTTTTATTCTAAGTGCTGGAAATGGCCACATGAGCGCAGTGGGAGGGAAAGGTTCTGATTTTTAAGGCATACTTTATTAGCCCATAAAGGGCCAAATGACATGTGATGTGAATGCAGAACAATCATTGAAATCACAGGTTACATACATATGTTGAAATTACAAAGTTTTCATAGGAATTAATGTGACGAGTATTGATTTTAGCATCCCAATAACTGTTCAACTTAAGAGAAATCGCTGTGAACTGTGCAGTGTTGGGAAACGGGTAGCTGGGGATAGTTTTTAAAGAGTCCTTCCTGTGCTCATCACGAAATGCTTTCATAGGCTTATTTTGGCTTCATGATTAAGTTTTCAACATTTTGCTAGACTTTCATTCTTCTAGTATACTCATGGGTTAAAAAATCCAAATTACTTTCTTGAATCTTTTAACAAGCTACTCAGTGATACTATAACACTATTTACTTTTTTTTTTTCAGAGAGGATGATATACTGCTTTCTATACTTCCTCCAAATGTAAAACAAACAAACAAATAAACTTTGAAACTTGAAATCTTTAAGTCTTCTTTCAAACAATCTGGTCACATTTACAGGAGTGTCCAAAACGAGATGATGGATAATATCAGTGCCAGCTCTGTGTCATACAGCAACTTCCTCATGTTCTTATTATTTGACAGTTTGTAAGTCATTTTCCATTTCACCAAAAGTTACAAAAGTTTCCACAGTTTCCCTTAGGAAGCTGAAGCTTACTCTTCATTTGTCAATGTGCATAAAAGCTGCTTATAGCATAGCATGGCGTAAGCTATTTTTTAAGCAATAAATGGTTTGAATCATCTATTTTGTCCTGAAATGCTATCTGTAGTTAACTGCATTGCTTATAAATGGTCATAGTAAATTCAGCATGAAAGAGAATATTACAGAAAAGACAGCAGCAGAAGCATTAGCATTATCTAATATTTATATATGTTATCAACATAACACAGCAGTAAAACGTTTAAATGCATATCAGTGGGTACCATGTCTAAAAATTACTATAGTACCTATTTAATGTAGTGGATATTTTTCTTAAAGAGTGCTTGCTGTATCTAGAACAGCATAATAAGTGATTTAGTACAGTTAATTCTTACTGATTAAATAATGTATTTACGTACTGAAGGAAGTGAAAAGAGACAGATATTTTTTGCTTCATTGTGATCCCAGATTTAACATTTAAATGAAGATTCCAAAGGACCATAGTGTCATTATTCAACTAAAATGGGTTTCGAAATATTTAGGACAGTATGATTTTTATCTAAACAGCAAGGTGGCACCAAATACTTGTAATGCTACTGGCCTGTGACTCAGTTCGGAGCCAGAGTTCAAAATTGTGCCCCTCCTTTACAGTAATGGTAATTACTCAGCTTTGGAGAGAATGGCCCATTTTTATGGTCATTCTTTGTGAGTTAGGTGTAAAGCGAAACAAAATGATGGCAAATGTAATCAATCGCTAAATACCTTTTTTACAAGAGGTGCAAAAACAGTTCTTTCTAACAATTAAACTGCGATTTACAGTAGATGTTTTTGTACGCCTGCAGAGACAGAGAAACGATGGGGGTAAATGCCCAAGGCAAATAGTCTCCAAGTGGATATTTACACAATGTGAAATCAACTGTACCCTAGTTACCCAGAGAAAATGAAGATTATCTTGTTATTACAAAATCAAACAGACATGATATAACTTCATCATACCTAAAACCTGTAGGACCCTATCCCAAGCCTAAGAAAAAAGTAATCCCCAAATCCCTCTGCCCATTCACCCTTTATCTTCCTGTTACACAGAATAAATGTTGAGATTACTCCCACCCACCCTCAAATAAAGTGCGCAATCCATGGCAGACCATAGAGTAATGCAACAGGAAAAGCCCCTTTTTTGTATTATTATTTAAAAATAAAATACAAACAACAAAAATAAAACAAGGACTGGAGAGAACGCTGTGATTCGCCGCATCTTGCAGAAAGAGGCGAGGCCGCCCTGCGTGACAGTCACTTGGGTCAGTACACATAGCCTTCGTTGTAGGGGTGTGGGTTGCAGCAGCCCCCTTCGGGCATGTAGGCCATGCTCTCGTCAAAGTGAGACAGAGGCACCGTGTCCTCCTCGTTGATGTGACGCTCCACGTCTGTCTTCAGCAGTGGGCGCTGATTATCCGGAAAGGCCATTGAGAAAAGGGCTTCCGGGTCACACACAAACTTGTAGACGTATCTCTCTCCAGCCACCTGATGACAGCACGGAAGAAAAAAGATGCATCCTCAGCATCCCCGGAGGGGGAGGGAAAGGAAAGAGGAAAAAAAAAAAAGAAAGCAAAACAAAACATGATTTACTATGCCAGGAAGGATGGATAACAAAATAAGAAGGCAACCAGGTAGCAGCTGATTCAAACACAAAAGCCTTCCCTTGTAAAATAAACTAGGGCTCAATCGAGGGAAATCCAAAATGAGGACCTTGAGTGATAATTATTTCAATCCAGCTATTACTGGTAACTCAGCAGTTTTCTTGTTTTAACATAAAATTGAACTTTACACTGTTATTTTGAAAAAAATCAGATTTAATGCAGGCACTTCATATTAGATTTTTTTACTTAAGGGTAATATCCATGCTTATAAAAATCTGTATCTCGAAGGATTAATGTCTCTCTCTCCATATTACATTCTGAATGGGTATAAAAGCTCAACTTTCAAACTTTAAGAGAAAAATATGTTTTATTCTTAATGAGACTAGAATAGTGATTCACTGATTCTCAGGGAGCACATTCCTCTTCCTTTTTATTTATTTATTTTTTTGCACTGTGTAGTCTCATCTAAAATTCCAAAGATATATAGCCTTATTTAAGTGAAAGATGGATCAAGAAGACAGCATTATCCTGGGTACATCACTTTTAAAAATGAAGGCAAGGTACATTAGACAGAATTTAAGGATGTATGCAACGTGTCAAATTGAAGCAAGAGGTGTAAAAAAAGTGCAAAGAATCAAAAATATACAATGCACAGGGAGGAAATGAGAAAAAGAAATGTGACAACTGTCTAAAATAAAGGAGACATAGTATAATTTATAAGGAATGACATACCCCAAACTTAAACTCTCAAGAGTATTGCTTTTGTAGAAAGTTATAAACAACAGAATGAGACAAATATGGTAATATACTTCCCATTAACAGACAATATTGAAGTGCTCAAAACCCAAGAGGGTGGTGAACAAATACAGCTGTTTGAATTAATTCTGTGTGCGTGCGTGCGTGCATGTGTGCGTGTGTGTGTGTGTGTGTGTGTGTGTGTGTGGCTTATACTTTTAGATAGCTGAAAATTACTCAACACCTTTGCGCCCCTATGTGTTAAAGGCATTGCTACTTGGTTTGTGGTGTCAGGGGAACAGTGCTTTCGGGGTTCATAAACTATCTGTATGTGTTTAGGGGAAAGGGAGCAACTGCCAAAAAACCCTGATGCCCTGGACACAGATTTAAAATATTTCTGGCCCTGATTTAAATAAGAGAAAACACTTTAGCAGATCCAAGTAATCTGAATACTCATAAATTTGAAAGTGCTGACTCTCAGTAGTGTTTATGATTTTGGATGTGTTTCTTAAACTGCCGCTTGGTTCCTGGCCTTAAAGTAGAGACAGGAATCGTTCCTTGGAAAACTGGTTGTGGCACTGAGAAAGACGCTTCTAGAGGAGCAAACAGAGGAGCTTGGTATAATTCATTTACTTTAGTGATCCAGACAAAGGAAATTAATTTCTTTCTCTTTTTTTCCAGCTTTAATTGAGTTTATTGGTACATTTTAGGGATACAGTACAGTTACATTCATTGTTGGGATCTTGTACCTCTACATGACAGGTCTTGGTTCTCATTTTTTCCCCTTGTCCCTGCCCTCCCTTCACCCCCTCCTCTCCTCCCCATCTACAAACTCTTTATTTCCATCTTTTCATTCTCTCACATTTTTTTCTTTTCCCTTATTACCCTTCCCCTACCCTTCCCACCTTCCCTACACCTTTAGCTCCTTTCTTCCCATTTCTCAATGTCGATTACTGACATTGAGGAAATTAATTTCTTAAAGGTGAACTGGTAAAATGACTATAACAATAGGCAAAATCAGAAACAAGCTCAAATAAAAAAACCTAGCTTTGTGGTTTTTTTCATTGTTAAAAATATTTTTCAGAATAAAAATAAAATAAATGGCCTCCTTTCCTCTAAGGGATCTATAATCTGTTTTGTTTTGCTTGGGACTAGAGAGAGAGATATTTGCTGTAGTTACTGCAACTTTTTTGGTCTGACATGTTGATACTAGTTATAATTAGAAATGACGTGATAACTGAGAACTTTTCACCATGCGAGATTTAAATATATACCACACTGTTAAGGTTATAAAAATCTCTTCAGGACTCTCCTGAATTCATTGGTTCTTCCTATTTTCTTCTTGATTTAACTTTTTAAAGCTACCACTCTGTTTATTTGATTGTGTTAAATGTAACTGAGCTTAGAACAAAGCTGCCATCCAAAAAGGGAAATGATGTGTTACAGTATTAGTAATTAGCACAGGGCTGTACACTAAGAATGCCCAAAATGCCACATTGAGATAGAAAAAAACAGAAATCAGCAGTGAGCAAGGAGATATCTTGTAAGCTATGTTATCAAAGGCTAGGTATTTCAATTATGCTTTAACTTACAAAATTTCAAAAGTAACTCAGGATATTGGCTACTGAATTAGAAATAGCACACTAAACAAAAAGAAATAATGAAGTCACACAGAAAATAACTACTGTCAAAATATAGATATGCATTTTTCTAGGCATTTTTTAAAAATTGAAGTACACACATTTTTTATGAAGTGTAATAAATACTTCTGTTTTATAATTACTAATATTAGTAGTTTTCATTTTCTTACAGTTTAAAAGTATTGTCATTTTGTTTTTATTTTAGTCTTTTTACTTTTTTCCCCTAAACTTCATACATCCACATAGTTTTAAATCAATGAATAAAAATGTTCATATAAATATTTTCACCTACACAGTGAAATATGTAATACTACATCACAATGTTTTTTAAATAAAAGAGATGGCATAGTCTTTCTCTAAATGACTATACTAGAGTTTACTTGATATATATATCAACATTAAGATGAAAAGGGCAAAACATTCCAGAAGGAGTGCAGTAAGAGCCCTGGGGGAGTCATGGGTATGTCAGGGACTACAGGCAAGGTTTTCCATGTGCAAGGAAGGGAAAATGATGGCCGTTAACATCAGAAGGGGCCTGGCTGTATACTAGCTGAAAGTAGCCTACAATTCAATAACATTCCCTTTTTTCTACGCACACAGTGATAACCTTTGGGTCTGTTATACATAGCGTTTTACATTCCTGCATTAACTGACAAATTGATCATAAATAGTTTTTTTGGCAGTTATATCCTAATGGGGACAAATACGAGGATCAACAACATTTTTTAACTGCTGTTCCAGATCTATGTAACCGTTTGACAGCCTTCTGCCTTATTAATTTGTTAAAATAAGAGAATGTATAAATGAGATAAAGAATAAAACAGTAAATAAATGGGAAAATAGAACTGGTGACATGTATAGTAAATTTGAGAAAATATGAGAATATTAAGACCAGGCATGACATCCTGGAGATCCTTTTTAAGTCACTGCTACTTTGGATCTTAAGTGTCAGTAAAAGGTCCAAGTGGTAGAGCCTTGGTCCCCAGAATTGGTGCCTTTGGGAAGTGGTGAAACTTTCAGAGGTGGGACCTAGCAAAAGGTTGCTAGATCTCTAAAAGTGTGCTGTCAAAGGGGTGAGGAGTCCCCCAATCTCTTCAATTTTTCTGTCAATTCCTGGCCAAGAGAAGAGTGAGTTTGTTGCTGACTGGCTAAAGACCCAAAATAATAAGGTAATTGATCAGAAATCAGAACCTCCATAACTGTAACCTTTTTCCTCTATATAAATTGGTTTATACCTGATATTTGTTATAGTAAAGCTAACTAATACAGTCATTTTCTGAAAGCTAAAGTGTAAGTAAGGATATTATAACAAATTTTGGCTCTCTATAAATGCCCCTTTTAGTAAGGGGCTTAATGGCTAAGACATCAAAGCCACATATGCCATAGCTTACACTGACTTCTGGATGTGAGCTGCACTAAAGCTACCATTTATTTGGGGCTCGCATCATGCCAGGTACCATACAAGGTATCTCAGGTATGTTATTTCATTTAATAATCACACTGAAAATCTTCAGTGAGGTAAGATGATCACCATTTAGTAGGTGGAGAATCTGTTCAAGAAGGTGATATGCTGAAAAAATTAAGAACCAAGATGGATTATATAAAGGTGCAAATTTCCAATGATGAATGTCATTATATTGTATACCTTAAATGTACCAATAAAATTAATTTTTAAAAAAAGAAGGTATGTGGTGAGCAGCCAGCTGGAAAACCAAACTCAAGGCAACAGTGCCACGACCATGTGATGTGACCCAGAGAAAACAACAAACAGCTACTGGGAAGGCCCCACAAGAAGCCTTAGCAGGAGGAGAAGACAGCAGAAAGACAGGAGCAGCACGTATTTGAAAGGATTTGACCACCAGTGAATACGGTGGGGTGAAAAGGGGGAGAAAGAAAAATTATACCAGGGCTGAGACAGGAAAGAAGGAGGGAGCAGGTGGCAAAGATTTATATTCATATTTTGGAGAGAAAACAATTTAGCCTCATCTTTTAAGGCTCTTGAAAGTTCTGAATTCTAAACTAGCAAACTCCAGCACTGATTTCACATGTTCTAGAAATCTCTATGCTAATTCTCTCTGTTAAGTTTCACATAGCAAATGGACTTGTATTTTCAGGGCATCACAACGATGACATAAAAATATGCCAGGACCTATAACATGTAACTAGATTTACATCCACTGAAATAAACAAAGGCTGCATAATAAAACTGTAATGCCCACAGCAGATAAATCATAAAAGTCAAGGCAATTAAAATTGAATACATGCAAAGCTGAAGAATATAATAACAGACATCCGAATGTTTTATCTGTATTTGTTCATTGTTTCCTTTAAAATGTTGTATTTTATTATAAGTGTAACTCATTTATTTTATCTTTAATCTTTTTCCTAAAAAAAGAAAAAAATACTACTTCCAAATATTAAAGGAAGCTCATTTGAAATAAAATATATTGACTTTTGTTCTAGCAGCCAAATAAGATCAAATGCTCATTTTAAATAGGTGTTTGGGATATCAAAATGTCAGGTAATGAAATCACCAAGATACTAGGCAAGAATATGTGCTTTTCCTAATGAGAACAAAAAATATCCTCATGGTTTAAGAATCAGAACAAGGAAAAAAAGTAAGAATTAAAGTAGTCTTAAGTTCCTTTATTTTCACTGGATTCTATAATTAAAAGCATTTCAAAACTACATACAATTGTAGAGAATGCAGCAGAATAACAACTTCTGGAAATATATAGATGCAATATCAATACTGAATCAAAAACATGTGCATCAAAGTGGGAACTTCCAGGAAGGCTCATATGTTGTATATGATATGATTACACATTTCTCTCCAGTGTCCATGAACTTATAAACAGAAAAGCTTACAATACAAAAATCAAGAGCTAAGCATTTGTTAAAATGAAAACCTTGCTTCAGCAATTAAATACTATATGGTTTTCAAGGTATGATGCATAGATTAATGTGCAACATTTCAATGAATTTTAATGCTGTATTAGCTTCTCACCTTTTGCATGATTCCCTTCTCATAATAATAGCGGAGTGAACGGCTAAGTTTATCATAGTTCATAGCTGGCCTGTTTTTCTGAATGCCCCAGCGCCGAGCCACCTGCCACCAAAAGAGAATTATAGTATAGTGTTAAGTATTACCTTAGCATATCTCAGAGGAAAATGGTTAATTAATTATTTAGCTCATAAAAACATGTCTAAATCAAAGACATAATGAGTCAAGTTACAAAAACTATCCTGATCTGAACTTCCTGTGTCCTGCTTTGCTTTTTAAACCAAGCGTGCAGTGATCATTCTGAAATATCACAATAGAATTCTTTGTCACTATTGTTTTGGATACAGAATTAAATGGAAATAAGGGAATGTGTTTACAACGGGAATGAACAGACTACAGTTCACCCAAATGAGGCAAGTTTTCCGATTTGAGATACAGTATCTGCTTTTTCCTTCTTAATTTTTCAGACAAAACTATAGCTTAAGAAGAACTTAATGATCTCTTTATAAAGGTGCCTTATTAAAGTTAAGTAAACCAAAGAAGAAAAGATCCTTAAATTACTACTTCAAAGAATAAACAAGTGGAATTGTGTGCAGCAGAGAAAATAAGACGCAAATTAATAAAAGAACTACAAATAATTTTTATTGCCTGGAGCAGCATCAGAATAAAATTGTAGTCAATATCAAACTGGAGAATTAAGCATTCATCTAGAGAACAGCAACTGAGGCTAAAAATAAGAAGGAAGTAGAAAAGGTCACCATGTGTATGAGTCCACAAGCAAAAATCTCTAAACCAGAATGTCCACTTTGTTGTTTAGTAAAAACTCTCAGAGGTTTTAAAGATGTGGCTTTGGAGGAGCAATGTTTCAGGTTAAGGCAGAGTCCATCCACAGAGATTTAAAAACACATTTCTTCAATTTATGTATCTCCCTACCTCACCCCCAGGCCCGGCTAGCTGAGCCATTATCCAAGGTAGTGTAGGTGGTTTTGCTATCCCTGCTCTCATGTTCTCATTAACTTCCACTTTTATTATTCTGAGCAAAAACTGAGGCTGCCATGCAAACCTAGGCAAGTCCAGGAGAGCATTTTGTGTGTTCCTTCATTTCCTTGAAATTCCAAGTTGTTGCTATGTCATATATATCAAAATAGCTCTGTTAAGCGAACATTCTGTTTCTCTTCAGTTTATTAGCAATAACCTGTCTCCAGGATTTATTTTATTTTACTTTATTTTAAAAATACCTACCCTTGATATTTTTTCTCTAATTTGTATTCTCTCAATGAAACTAACAGCATGCTTTAGCCATATGCATGAGTATAGATTTTTAAGAGTTAGATGTGATGTAACAGAGGCAAAATTATATCCAAGCCAATAATCACAGTGGCACATGCACAGTAATTTTCCAAAGATAAACTTCATTTAATATAAATATTCTGAGTACTGGGGAAATGGGAAAGGGGGAAGGTGGCAAAGAGAAATTAAAGCACTTTTTAAATAAAATATATTTCAAAAACTTAACAATGGGCATTTAAGGACTCTTTAATAGACACGGCAGCTGAACAGCATGCAAACCTTGAAGGGATGTGAAAACAAATTATTAATGTCTCTTTAGATTAAACAACCATCTGAATACCTATTCATTTATAAATGATTCTTTTCTAGGAACTCAGCTGGATTCACCTAGAAAACAAAATACTAAAAACAAAGTTCAAGATAACATTGTGGATATCTAAGGAGAGAAATGTAGCTTTTAAAAATGATATAAAGAAGTGGTAGGCTTCTAGAGTTTGATTCTTCTAATGCTAGTTAATTCTCAGCACTGGGTTTATTAGTCTACATTTTTAAGAAAGCATGAACACAAATCAAATAGGCAAGGCAAGAAACTAAATGGAGAAGGTGAAAAAGTAAAAAGAGTCAACAAAAGGCCAATAACATGCCAATAATAAATCAGTACATATCAGTTATAACCATCAATGTCAATGGCCTCAACTCACCGATGAAGAGAAATAGACCGGCAAAATGGAATAAGAAGGAAAATCCAACAATATGTTCTATACAAGAAACACACCTAGTGCAATAAGAAGCCCATAGACTGAAAGTGAAAAGATAGAAAACAATTCTCCATGTGACAGGAGCCCAGAAAAAAACACGAGTAGCAATCTTATTTGCAGACAAAGCAAATTTCAAACCAAAACTGATTCTAGTATTATTGATGTAGGACGGTACTGTATCATACCTCTGTGAATGTAAAATATCTTGTACCTGCTTTATGATACATAGTAGTGACCATGCTTTACCAGAGCTACATTTAATGATATTACTCTAGAATGTTCTCTTTCCAGATGATGATTAATATGCTAATAAAAAAATGGTGCCAGGTACCACAACAACAGATATAGATATAGATATAGATATATAAATTGAATTTTGGGAAACTTTCAGAGTGCTGCCAACTTTGGAAAAAGTCATCCCAATTTACTGTGTTGAGTTGGCATTGTACAGAAATGGATAGCCATATTGGTCTAGAAATGTTAATTTTTTTATTTTTATTTTTTTCCACGTGTACAGGGGTAACACATTGTACTAAATATGTAAGGTCATATCTACATGGGTTTGATTAAAGAAACTAATAAAGTATTCTCTAAATAATGAAAAAAAAAGAATAAGATAAGCCTAGAAAAGCAAGAAGCAATTTAAATATGTTCAGGGACCATTTTCATCTCCAGAATTAAAGATTATTTTGATGTTACATCATTGCCTTTTCTCTTTTACTTTCCTTTTTAGTTTTATTTTAGGGTTCCCTATTTTTAATGTTCATACAGAGATTTCTTCAACTGAAATACCGAATAGTTTCTCTGGTGTGAAAAACTATAATAGTACACAGGATCCTGATGAGATAATTAATAATGTGAAATAGGAAGTAAAGGGCTAAAGGTGTAGGGAAAGTGGGAAGGGTGGGGGAAAGGTAATAAGGGAGAGGAAAAAAATATGAGAAACTGAAAAAATGGAAATAAAGTGTTTGTAAATGGGGAGGGAGGAGAGGGTGAAGGGAGGGCAGGGACAAGGGGAAAAAATGAGAATCAAGACCTATTATGTAAAGGTGCAAGATCCCAATGATGTATGTAACTGTACTGTATACCTAGATTGTACCAATAAACTCAATAAAAAGAAAAAAAAAGAAAGCATGAACATGAAGATTTGCCTTAGTGTCATAGCCTTTACGAAATTGAAAGAAATGAGACAGCAATGTGCTTAGGAGATGCAGACAGGAAAGAAATTTAAAATTAACAGAGAACATAAATATCCTGGTCCTCAAAAACCTTCAATATTATCAGGAGGCTTTGACAGCATGTTGTATAGATGCCTGCCTATATTAACTGTTGTCCCTGAAGTAAATTCTTGATGATCTTAATATGAAAATCATTACCCCATTATCTCAACTATCTGAAAAAGAGAGATGTTAAAGATTATGTGTTTTCTAAAGTTATCCAGACACAATGAGCAGATAATTTGCTTCTGTCTGAAGCTGCAGTATCATTTTAAGCCTCAAAATGAAAGCGGAAGCAATGAAACTCATAAGTAACACAACAGTGGCTTCAGGGGCATCCTGTGTGAGTTGTGCTGAGACACATACTCAGAGGGCTGCTGTGTAACCGAAGGTAGTGGCAGACGTGGGCCGCCACAGACCAAAGAAATTTCACAAACCCTTTCCAAATAAGAAGTTTTAATAAGACACCACAATCACTGCCTGATGGAAGCAATTGCAACAGCAAGTGATGCAGTCATAAAATACGGGATGTTTCATTTTGAACAAAAGCTTTCAGAGACATTCAGTGCTAATTGCACAATTCCCATTGACTCAGTTACCATGTGGAAATAGTCTGCTGACTCTAAATTATCCCCTCTTTACCTCATGAGTCTCCTACACAAAAGCTCTCAAAATGTGAGTTTGTTATACAGGATAGGTGTAACTGTCTTTCTTTCCTGCATTAAAAAGAGAAATCACAGAAACTTAGAAATTGATAGAACTTAATGGTCATCTGGTCAAATCTACTTACTCAAACTTGATCGTCAAAAAGTCAGTTGTTGCTATATAAAGAACTGAATCACTTGCAGAAATTTGACTCTTCCTAGTGGATCGAGAAGTACTGACATAATTCAGTGACGTCTCTTATCTTAACAAATACATGACAAAAATAAGAAATTATATTTCTGCTTAGTTTATTTTAATCACAGGTAAAGGGAAATAACTGTTTAACTGATACTAATCCCTGTTGAATATGATCAGTTCCATCATGAATCAAGTCATGCAGTAGTTATTAACATCTTCCATGAGGGGAAAAGCACATGTTCTCAACCTGTGGCAGGGCTTTCAAATTACTCGGTTGAGTATTTCTAGTTTTAATTTGTTACGGTTCACATTTTTGTGGTTCCTTCACCATCATTTAAGTACATCTGTAAAGAAAAACTAATGTTCTTTGACAGCCAAATTCTTTTTATGTACACTATACACATCTAAACATCCAAACATTTAGCATCTACTAAATAAGACCTGTTTTCAGTTTCAGATACTGAGCCGTGTTTGGGGTGTGAGTGTGTGTGTGTGTGTGTGTGTGTGTGTGTGTGTCTGTGTGTGTTTCATGTGAGGCAAGAGAGACACTGCGAAGCCAACCCTCAGGTACAACTGGAGTACTGATATGAATGAAGGAGGCTTAACTGCTCTAAATAGACTTCTTATTTCATACTTATTATAATACCTTTTTAAAATACATTATTTCTAAGAATTTACTATTTTAAATAACTTTTGTTGTGAACATCAAATTGGGGCATATTGCCTGATTAAGTTGAATACTTTATTTAATAAACAACAAAAAATTAAGATGTAAGGGCCCAGTAGCCTAGGTTCTAGATGTCCAGTAAATGTGAAACTAATTATGTTTAGTTCAAAAGTACTTCAGCCTGATTGAGTTTTTTAACATGTTCAGGGGTTTAGATTCAACAGCCTCTAGCATAATGAGTCATAAGCATGTTAGCTAAAATTCTTCCATTGCTTTCTTGACTGATGTGAATGAACTAAAGTCAATTTTAAGCAGAGAAAGTATCTTTAATAAGACACAGAAATTTCATATAACAGTCACCTTTACATAGAGGTCCAAAATGCTACTTAGAGGTTATTGCTGCAGTAACAGCAGCAGCTTTGAATCTAAATCTCATTCTGAGGAGAGTAAACATTTAACTGTGACGTTCATCCTGGAAGCACTCTATTTGTGTGTGTATTGTAGGGTGGGATGAACGGATGTTTCAACTGTTTGTTGGTTGAAAGTGTATTCCATATATATATGTTGTTTCTATGTAGAGTCTTTCATTTTGGTAATTTCTTATGTATGATAGCAACGTTTTAAACTCCATCCCTGTCTTCCAGTGGAGTATACACAGTCCAGCTGACTTGGAACAGATGTCACTAACACTCAAAAGGAAAGAATGTCTCTGCTGAGCCTGTATCTTGTAAAGACACAAGGTCTGTGAACTTTCCACTGTGGCCCTCACATATCCTGATCTTCCTGATAGCTGTTCCTCCCCTAACCTCTCTTGCATCACATGATTTTGATACTCAGATGTTTCTCTCCTACCCACTTCATAAAAATCTAGATTGTCCAAATAATGACTGTTAATGAAAAGAAAAATACCTCCACCTCCAAAACTAATTGGACTTGGGCAGACCTCTCCCTTCCCCCATACAGACCATAAAACTCTGCCTCCTCCAAGTCACAAAGTCACATCCTTCTCTAGAGATTTTTCCTAATGATGCCATGAATGATTTTCTTCGACATCAATTCTCTAAGATGGTATTCAACTGGACACCCCATGTGATAAAATAATAATTTTAAAAATAGACCTTTTGCAGCCCACTTTCTAATTCAAAAATTTTCTGTGCAGATTTAAAATTTTTATGTTACATTTTGGCACATTAATCAAATATATCAGTTTGATTACATTATAACATATCTGATTTTCCTAACAAAAATCTGCCGAACCAACCTCTTCAGGTTCAATCAGTTTAAATTCCATGCCTCGACCAGTCCAGGCGATGAAATGAGAATTTGAAGGGTCGTCCAGAAGAGCTACCAAAAACTGCCAAAGCTGAAGTGACCCTCGCCTCTGATATGTGGGTCCTTCCCGGTACATTCCTGGCTCTTGTTTGATGTCTCCTAAATTAAAAAAAAAAAAAAATGTTAAAGTGTCTTTTATTAGCAGCAATATTACGCCATTTATGTAAAAATTCACATTAACTTAGTAATTCAAATGGTTAAAGAGAAGTGCTTTGGGGTCTTCTGTGAAGTGTAATGTTAACATTAAATAGGGATTTTTAAATAATTACGTGATTGACTATAAACTAGTAGTCTGTATAAATACATATATATTTCTTCAAGTCAATATAAGTGCACACTGGTGTGGAGTAAATCCATAAATGTCACGGACATAAAATTTTGTGTATGTATTAATTTTTTATCATATAATTAAAAAATACTGTCTAATCATATGTCTTTGCTTTTCTTGTTAATGCCATTACTCATTACTTTAAGCAACACTGAAGAGGAAGAAATCAATTTTAAGCTCTGGGCACTTTATTTGTACAAATTAAATTCTTCAAACTATAATTTGTAAATACTTTATTGACCTGCACATGAAAAACTATTGAAATTTTCTTGCACATATTTCAAAGCAAATTTAATACTATCATGAACTAAGTTAAAAAAGCTATACTGTATAGTAGTTTTGAAAATCTAGATAATTCAGGCCATACTGGATTTTTATGATAAACACTTTCCTTCCTATACCTTCACCTGGGAGATACCACTTTTTCACCTGTCATCAAATGAGAATTTTCACTTGTTTGTCCTTATATCTTATATGCATTTTACTCACTTAAATTTAGCGTGCTAAACTTTTTCTAAAGATCTAATTTAAAAATACATATACCAAAGCTTTTCGTAAATCTGTATTCTTAAGCAGGAAAGATTTTCTTATGTTATATTTGATACTCATATATAGCATAAAAGTATGATAAAAAGCAATAAAGGTGTTAGCATTATAATGCTTCTGCTACAAATCTGATCAGTTATCTTGGCTTTACAAAACAAAGCAAAACAACAACAACAACAAAATACTCAATGTCATGACCACTGATTATTTACTTCTGTCCTAGCCAACTATATGGAATTGGTCACACTGGGGAGTGGGTGTGTAGGGTTATACAAATATATTACATCATTTTCAATGTATCAATTTCCTTTCTTCACTAAATAAACAATTCAGTCAGAATACATTCCAGGGAATCCGTTCACACTAAGTATGAATTATAAAATAAACCAAATCATAAGCTTTCTAAAATGTTGTTTTGGTTAATAGAAGAAATGTACTTCTTAAAATAACTATGAAACAAACAATATTTTAAAAAGCTAAACCAAACTACAAAATTATTTAGTCAATAGCTGGTCAAAATCATTATATTATTTTGCTCTTAACTAGAAAACATAGGCATGCATCTTCACATTGATTTCAAAGAAGTGTTCGTTTATCTCAAGTTTCCTTCTGAGATTTGCAAAATGTTATGTGAGTAACAGCAGATATGCAGATAGAGTAAAACATTCTTAAATTTTATAGTTTCTACCTATAAAATTGACCATATGAGCCAAGTAAAACAGCAACAACAACAAAACCCTCCTTTTTCTCTCCTCGTTTTCTCCAATATTTACAAAATGAAAGAAAAATATGATTCTTCAAAAAATTTTCATTAGTATAAAATTGAAGATTACTTAAAAACCAAAGGGACTAGAGTCCCCTAAACTCTAGTGTGACTCTGGCCTACAGATTGTAACATAATCTTACTCATCATTATAAGACATTTTTCCGCTTTATGTGGCCTAATTACAACATTATTTGCAAAGTAAGCTCAGCATAAATAAAAGGAAACGATGAAGGACATTTCAACGAGTAGAAGCTTTAAAGCTTTGTTTCAAAAGAAAAAGTTTTATTTTGAAAATTGTGATGTTATGCTTATGGTGCTAAATAGCAGGGCTCACACCTCAGAAACAAAGCTTAGAACATTTATTGCAGGATAAAGCGCAAAAATGTGACCCCCGTTGGGGTTCCAACTCTGTGACTTCGAACAATTTAGAAATTTTAAGGGAGGGTAAAGCAGCAGATTTCTAAAGACTTACTAACCTTTTTGAAAATACGAGAGTATAAGAATAGCAAGAAGCTTGGGAACACAGAGTAGTCTTCAAGTAACTAATTAGAGATTGAAAAGCAATCTGAATGTGTACTCTGCCGTTTAAATAATGACAATTAAAAACTCTGAGAGCTTCCAAGTCATTATAGCCTCATCCCCAAAGTTTTTGCAATCAGCTAATCAGAGGGCCCCTGCTCGCTTCCTGTTTAACAATCAAAGCAGGAAACATGAAGACCACTCCGAAGAACCACTAAATGAATTAACCGTTCACTTTTTACCCAGGCTTCCTTGTAAATGCCGACTTTTGACACCCTTGTCAAGAAAAGAATATTCTATCTAACTTGACGCTCTTTTAAAAATATCTAAGACCTTTGCTTTGAAACCATGAGTGATATTAAAAAAGGCAATGCTCTCCTCCCTTTTAAGCAATTACAAAGTAACGTCACATTAGTAATGTACATCTTCTTGGGGGGAGAAAAAGAAGGCCTAACAATCACTAACTAAATGGGCAGTTATGTGGTTCCTGTGCTCCATAATGCATCTTTTCATGAACAATAAAAGAAAGGAGGCTGCATTAGTCATCAGTGCATCCACAGTAGCATGCTTTCTGCTCTGCTTTGTTAATTACAGGATCAGCTTTCAATAAATCTCGAATAACAAGCTGCATGTGCTCAGCAGGGCAATGGAAAGACCCCTCTTACTCTGCACAAAGCTCAGTAAGAATGATGCTCTCCGGCTATAGCTCCAAAAGTGGACTCTCTCACAGCAAAGAGGAAAGGGGCTCTTACTGAGGGAAGGAAAGAGAGAATTTATAATAAATCACGTAGAGCTAGAATGCAGCACCTGATAAATTATGTGCATAGAAATCTTTAAGTAGTTTTTGAAAGGAGGAAGAGTGATAATTCTATCCTACTTTACAAAACTCAAAACTGGGAACAGCGAATACACTTACCATCGAATTTCTCTGGGACAACACAAGTGTCATCATAAAACTGCCTGGGACCCTTTTCAAACATACAGCCTGTGGGAAAAATGGGACGTATTTATTAACGATACAAACAAAGCTCACTAGTGCCTCAAAAAAAAATACAGCCATTAACTCAAAAACTGTGCAGAAAAGTGAGTTTACTGCTGTTTGGCCCTTTGACCCTGGACATATTATTTAACTTCTTTGTTTCAGTTTCCTCATCTTCAAAACAGGAATGATCACTATCTACCATCTCACAGGGTTCTGAGATTAAACGACTTAATGTATGAAAATTGAGGGTGATGCTTAGCACACTGCGGTATGTCAGTTGTTTATATTATTATTATTAAGCCAAGAGTAGATCTCACATGAATATTGGCAGACCTAAGATTGATAATTTTCTTCTTGGGCTGGGGGTTTAGCTCAGTGGTTCCGGCACCTGCCTCACAAGAGCAAGGGCCAGAGTTTGATCCCTGATACCAAAAAATTAAAGTAAAATAAAATAATTTTCTTCTCCCTGTCCAGTTCTTTCTTAGTTTTGTTATTCAATGGGAAGAGAGGAAGATCAGGGATTTACTGGTATTTATCTTGCATTATTACCCTGATGCTCTGAAGCAGATTCCTAATTTCCTCACAAAAATATATAGTTAAATATTTCACTTCGTAACTATGACTTACATCTGTCAAAGCAAAACTGAATGTTCTTAAAAATGCATTTTAGTAGCATGAAGAAAGGTGGACTGGTCTGTAAATCACATGTTCTACATTAAAAGTATGGTTGTGGAAAAACAAAAGGACACAAAAATTTACTTTTCAGCTATTTCTGTGTGCACAACTCACGTTAACAACCAAATACAAATTATCAGCACCAAAAATAAAACCTCCCCTTTACTTTAAAAAGATAAAAGTTTTAAGATAATGGTTATGGGAACATAAATGAATTTTCTCAAAGCATATTATGCCTAAGTGGCCCTATATTTGGAATGCCTGGCGATTTTACAAATAATTTTAAAAATAGAATACTTAACTTCTGTTCTGCTGGGATGAGTCAGGAAGCCTTCTTGCCTCATGTAAATGGAGTGGCAGCTAGGCACTTCTGAAAGAGGAAACAGGATTAGTTAGTTGGTCAGGAGCTGAAAGGGTGTTGTTTTCCATGGACAGTTAGTTGGAAAGTTACAATACTGTCACAAGTCCCCAAGTGGAAAATCAGCCAACATGTGGCTAATGCTGGCAGGCTTCACGCAATGGAATAATAATGCTAATATATTTTAAAGTGTTGTTAGGAGAATCATAATGCAATGTACATATTTAATGGTATACCATGTACATAAAAATACACCAAAGGCTCATTTGTAGTTTATTTCATGAACACCTGACAGAAAGTATTATGAAAAACTTCCAACTAAATCTCTTTAAGGCAATTGCTACAAATACACAGACTAACACAGAAAGACACACGACTACTTTTCATTTTGTAAAGAACATAGGTCATATTCAGAACCAATGATGAAACTAAAACAGGTATAACAATTCAAAGCAGTTATTTATTAGCCTCTTTATGGGATGTATCTAAAATGTTCCCCCGAAGGCCACACACTAGATGTTTTGTTGCTCATGGACTCTTGGAGGGTGATTGGTCATGAAGGCTTTAAATTCAGCAGAGAACTAATCCACAGAAACAATGTCATCCTTGGGAAGTGATGGTAGCTGAGGAGTCTGGTCCTAGTTGAACAAAGCAGGTCATGGGGTCCGCCCGTAAAGACCGTATCTTGTCCAGACCTCTTCTCTGATACCCGTTCTCTACTCTCTCCCTACCATGAAATTACCAGTTCTCTTGAGGTTCTTCCACCATGATGTTTGTACCTTATAACACGACTACAGATCATGGAACAAGATAACCATGGACTAAACCTTCTGAAAACATGAGTCAAAAATAAACCTCTCCTGCTTTATGTTGGGGCATCAGATATTTTGCCAAGCCATGGAGAGCTAACACACTCTTAAGGGTGAGGCCTTGTCTACACGAAGGAGGTATCTCAACACTGACAAAATTAACTCAGTATTTACACCTGAAGCATAGTGGTGCTCCACACTGAATGTGTTTATAGTTTAAATACGGGAAAAACAAAATAAATTTTGAACAGCAAACAAAAGATTAAAATTCAAATCCTTCACTCACTGGTAATTATGATATATAACATGACAAATCATTTTGTGTCTATGTTTCTATAAAATAAAAGACTTGGTCCCAAATTCCTTTATTTTGAACGTGGAGATTTTCTCACATAACCACGGATAGACTCATGGAGAAACCACCATGAAACTTAACTTCCATGACCCTCCACTTTTGTAAGAGTTCCTTTCAAGGCTCTGTACTTAATTTTATATTGGCAGCTTTATTTTGTTTTCTTAAAGAGAGTTCCCCAGTTTTATGTTTCCAGGTCCTACATATCTGGGCCAAACTTTGCATTTAACAAGCATAGGTTATACAGGAATATATAAATATATGTGATCAAGATAATGATATCATCCATATGAACAAATAACTAAAGTTTTCTTAAGAACATGCGCAAACATATACTCTTAAAACACATATGACAAATATGGTATTTAATACAGAAAGCATGACCTTCTTCCTACCACTTGTAGTGAACTAAGCCTCCAGAGATACAATGGGAAACGTTTCAGTGAACTGGAATCTACTCTCCATATACACACTCTGTTATTATGAGAGATTATTTCTCTATTTATTTGGCCTAGAGGTAGTACTTCCTTGGTTTGGTATGTTTCATTTTTTTTTTTTAGTCAATGTAATTGTTTCAAATGTTGTCTGGTTAAGGACACTACATATACTTGGGTCTACTGATGAATATTAATCAAAATATGGGCATTTTTTTCCATGGGAAAATTCATCTAATGTTATTGGAGTCCAAAATAATGGAAATCTATAATGCTAATAATATTTAAAGGTATGAGGAATTAATAGCCTTCAATATAAGATGCTGTAAAACTATCAAATATTTCATTATAACATGTCTTCTTTATATAAAATATTATGTAGCATAGACTTCTGTTACTAAACAGGCTAAGTGAACTCTGCTTCCTGATATCAGCATTTATAAAAGGGTCGAAACACAGTTGATCTTTTGGGTTGCTGATAGTTAGCAATCCATTTTATCCCAACTTTTTAACCAATGACACTTTGAATTAATTTTTAATGTTATTCTGATTTATTGCCAGGCCCAAAGCTGCTCAAAGCAGCTGGGTCTGGAAGGGATAATGTTAATGACAGCCATCAGCTCAGCAGCTGCTCAGAGGCAAGCATTTTGTTGTACCAATGTTGACACCAGGCCACAAAATACTTTTACTGACTGCTGCACACCTGGAGCATGGCTTCAATGACAGCTGGCTGGCTCTGGAGGCAGCGAGAAGAGAACACACAGGCTAAACTCTATTATATATAAGTGTGACCAAATGTACTCTCTCCTTCCCAGAGGTGCAGAAAAAAAAAAAAAAAGGAAAAGCAGAAATGCAAACATTCCTGAAAACCCCACTACTCAGAGCTCAAGGAATATCTTACAAAAAGTTTTTAAGAACAATACAAAATGAGCACAATCCTGGAGAGCCAGATACTTGAATCAAAAGTAAGATCTGATGTATAATTTCACAAAATCTCATCTATTTAAATAGCTGATTTGTTGTTTATTGCTGTACTTAGTAGCATTCTCATAAAATTTTAGCTACTTATCTATAATGTTTAAATATAATGATTTGATATTCGTCATAAATTAATGACATATAATAAGGTGAATCCCCGATTCTTAATTATATTTCAAAGCCCTAACATGTGATCTAACTTTTTTTTTTAAAGCAATGAAAGAAAAGTTAAGGGGACAATGAGAATATAGTTGTTTTTCCAATTTCTACACCTATTTACTACACCTTAAAGTAAACAAAATTAATATCCATCCCTTAAAATTGAGACACTTGGGTAGCACTGCTTAAATTCTGTCCTTAAAATCTGGCCCACAGAGGCCTGAAAAGAATATGGCTAAGAGGCTTATTCCTATAAAGTAACTAAAGTCATGTTATCCTAGAGTGATAGCAGCTAATTTATGACTATCAGAGTGGGTCAGAGTCTAATCAAATTGTAGAAGCATTTCCAAAGTGATTATTCAATCAAATGACTAACATGGTTAATTAGGGGCCATAAACATTGCTCTGAAGTTCATCAAAGTAATGACTTGCTCAGAAAAATTACTGCTAATTAAATTGCCTGCTGCTTTCGTTTCTACCTTATCTGATAAAAAATCCAACTGACGAAGTTTGGCAATACATTTTAACTTTTGCTAAATGCTTAACTAAGATCTAAACTAGCTAAGTGGCCACTTGAAAGGCAAATGTTTTGTTGCAGAGAATGGAGGACTTGTGTGTGTATCTATTTCTGATATTGCATACAATAAAATTTACTTTTTTTTTTCTTTTTTGGTACTGGGGATCAAACTCAGGACCTTTCACTTGCAAAGCAGGCATGGTGCCATTGAGCTAAATCTCTGGCAATATTTACAAAATAGCAATAAGCCATCCCTTAAGCCATGCAAAAATGGTAAGGTATTTACACTGTTCTATTCTGTATTCTGGGATTATAATTTTAGCATCACCAGTACAGCACACCGATTACAAAAAAGCATACTGCCATCTAATTTGACCAGATTTTGAATCTCAGTATGATTTTTCATAGTAGTAAGACATTTCGTTAATAATTTAACATCTCTAACTCCCAACATCTAAACTGTAATGTGCAAATACTAACATTTATATTCTTAAAAGAGGTGTTAGAACCATATGGGTTCATTTGTAATATTTCCCACAGTACCTACACACAGTAAGAATTTAATATTATTAGTAATAATTATGAATAATAGAATCGTCTACATATTTAAAGTGAACCACAGTATTTAAAACCAGAAATACTTATACAACTAAATTACTTTTGTATCTTGATTTGCTATCCTTAAATCATGAGATGTTTGTTTATTAGTGTGCTTATTTTGAAATATTATTCACACAGCTATTCATTTATGATATTAAAATACACTGATTCAACTTTCGTTATAAATATACAATTTATAAGATTTAAACTAGAATCTCCCTTATATTTTTTAATTTGTGTGGGATAAAGCTTTTAAAGTTACTCTTTTACAATAGTATCCACTGATGTTTGTTCCTTCATAACATTGTCTTAAAGCATTTTAAATCAGTTTAGAAATTGAATTATGTAAAATAAATTTAGAACAAAGGATTTTTATTTATTTAGTGACTTGGGGATCAAAGAGCTCCATAACATGATATTACTACTGGCCAAATCAGCTTGCAGAAATTAAACTGCCTATAATTTGTTACAGATGAGTTTGTGGTGATGAAAGCTAATCTAATATGCTGCAAAAATTCAAAGCAGCAGAGTACTTCTGTCATTTTAATGCAATGGTTAATGTAGGTGAAGTTAAGAATAATTAAAATACACGAACACTACAAACTATCCAATTCGGTTAATCTTCACCTTTTAGTAACGCTATCAAATTCCTCATGAAATCAAGAATTACAGTCATGAAACTTTTTTTAAGAAGTTGCTTTCTTTGTCTCCTGACTTTCAATTTAAAGTTGTGCTGGGAAACATAAAACTGATTTGGGAAGCTTTAGCAAGGGCTTAACCACAAAGTGGAGTTTTGAATTTGCACATGTAATTCTGCTAGGTGATCCTCTGATTTGCATATTGGCTGCCCAGTTGTACAGAATGAAAATTCCCCTTTAGGGCATCATTTGCCTAAAGTTTCTAAAAGCTACATCAGGCAAGAGCACAGAGAAAAGACTGGTCATAACTGCAAGAGATATTTCTACCCACATTGTTGAAACTGTTTTGTTATCAAATCGTGTGCAAAATGTAATTATTTTATATTATAAATTCTGAACGAGGGAAAAACCATCTTTTTCATTTGATGCTTCTAGTTAAATAATCAGTGTATAATTGAATTAAGATTTCAAATGTCTTACAGTACATGAGAAATCCCAGTAGTCAATTTTGATGTTTTACTTTAA